TAGGGGCAACAGTGGCCGTTGGCGCGTGTTTCTGTGTAACCGTTGGGGCTGATTTCTGATGGGTTTTCTCGCCGCTAACGGCGACTGCTGACCGCGCTTGCGTTTAGGTCGCCCAGAAATACAGGAGGAAATCTACAGAAAGGACGACAGGCTCCTCGCTTTGTTAAAGGATGTTTATGTTGAGTCTCGAGATCCCCCTGCGCAGGTGAGTCTGACTGTAGGAGCGAGCATTTGCTTCGTGGTCCTCAGACTCAATGCAAATATCAGCTAGGGTGCAGACTTTTCAAGGGAAATACTCTATCAGTGCCTAAAAACTATTGCATTTTTTACAGATGAAGCTGTTGTTTTTATTGCTCTTCCATATATCAGTAGCACTGGCTGTGTTTGACCCTCATGGTCTTGAAGATATGGGAGGGAGTGCCATGGTAGTGCCACCTTTCAAATGTTTACACTTATTTTTTTTGTTTTTAACCTCACAATGCCTTTTTTTTATTATTGCTCAAAGTAAGGAGACTGGGACAAACACAAAAGCGTGAATGTGGTAGAGGATGAAGACATTAGCATGAGTAGTTAAAATACTCTGCCAAAATGTTCATGTTGTGCTACACAGAGCTCTTTCCTTGTGTGGTTGAGGTTGAACTTTAGTGCATAACTTCTGGGACTGTTTTTAGATCAGTTTCCTTGTCACTAATGGCTGCGGTCTCACGTGAAAGGCAAGGCAAACCCCTTCCAGTAGTGCATAGGCTGGAATTCAGTCTCCTCTCTTACACTTAGTTTTGCTATATCTTGTGGGGTTTTTTTTACCTACTCCGTTACTGGACTTTTTATTCCATCTTCTTCATGCGGTAATAAAAGTTTTATATGATTGTCTAGCAATAAAATTCTTGAATCTCTCTGATTTACCACTTCTTTAGTGCCTTCCATTCAAGATTAAAAGCATCTTTAATGTAAGTGGATTTCTGCAGTTTCTCCCTGAAGTATCCAAGTAATTATCCAAGTAATCCATTATTTTCATAAATGAGATTAAGACTCTAACCTTGAAGTGCTAAAGATTTCAATATCTTTGGCATGATTTCAATATCTTTTAATGCTTCCATTTGTCAGGCTGCTAAGAGAGATTTGAGGAAAAGCCAAAAGCAGAATAGATCCCTTAGTGCTTCACTAAGTTGTTAAGAAAATATAAAAGTGTCAGCACTGGGACTTATTCACAAAACTTAATTCAATAGCTTATTCCTTTCTTTCCTGTCACTAGTATGAATGCTTCTGTGTGTATGTCTACATGCCAACAGACATGCAGAATATACATGTAGGTGTTAAATAAAAACACATCCTCCCCAGTCTTGAACTGGCAAGATACCTAGAGCTGGCTCATTTTATTAAGATGTTAGGGTTTGTCACCTTAATATCATTTTAGGAATACTTAGGGAAGGGTGAAATTAGTAACATATTGTCAAATGTTATTTTTAATTTAGAAACAGTATGGATGCTGGAGAATCTTCTTGGTTTATGGGTTAATATGAAGTGACTGAGGGCTAATCTGTGGCAATAGCCAATGAAAACTTCAAAATTGGTGCTCCTTGAGTTTAAAGTTTTCCACTGCATCTTTTCTGCAGTGACATTCACTGGTAAAGTCCTAGTGAAGGGCAGTACAGGGAAGGCAGACGCACTTTGAAAAATACTTGGAAAAGCAAATATGAAAGGGTTTTAGACAATAGACTTTGGATGTCTGAGCACTGGGAATCATGGGAATCAAGCTGTATATAGGGCTGCAAAGTAACTTTATTTTGGTCTAACAAAGCTCATGGATGTAAATATGAAAGAAAGGGAAGGAGAGAGAGAATATATGAAAGGGCTGCTATCAGTACCAGAAGAAAAATAACAATTTGCAACATGATGCCTCCACCATGAATCAGTACTGAGTGTTATATATCGCCTGTATTTATGTTTCAGTACCAAAATCCGCTGTGTGACCAATGTAGGGCTGTTTAGTATGTACAATGCCTAGTGTTTAAATGGATGCATGACTTTCACAAATCCAGGTAGAGATTTGGCCCTGTATGTAGAATGGCTGTGCAATAGCTGACTGTAACTTTGGTGGTATCAAGAAGTGCAGCAGATAAAGCATCTTTTCTGTAATGCAGTGAAAATGGAGAAAAGAGGTATTTGGGAAAACAGCTTGGTTCTTACAGTGTGCAGAGTGAACGGAACTGCTGTTAAGCTCTTCTTGTTTTCCTTTCCACAATTAGGTAAAAGATCAAGGTGGTGAATATCTTCCGTGCAAACATGAGGAAAAGAGACTTACAAAACTAGGTCATTTGGAGGCTCTAGATGTTAAGAAGGTTCCCAAAGGCAAAATTTCCATTGTGGAGGCTCTGACACTTCTCAACAATCACAAACTTCATCCTCATATATGGACTGCAGAGAAAATAGCAGAGGAATACAGTCTGGAACTGAAGGAAGTAACCTCTCTTCTGGAATTCTTCATTCCCTTTTCTATTCAGGAATTTCCTACTGAAAGCAGAAAAGCTATAAAAGCAACATAAAAATAATTACCAAAACCTTGTGTGATCTCACTCTTGTTTTAACTTTACTTTGAATATGTTCGTTATCTAAAAAGAATTACTAATGTCATCCAACAAGGCTGTCGTCTTATGCCAGTAGGATATATTTGGGCAATTCCATTTTGACTTCAACCAAACATAGTGATTATTGGAGGCAGTTTGTAAACCAGAATATATTTTGTGTCAATGAGATAATCAGAGAATCATGTGGCACAATGAACCTACTGTCATATTCAAGTTCACTTAAAATATGTCAGTTCTAGTCAGATACATCTCTAAGATGGGTAGCTTTTCTTAACAGAGAGACTTCCTGGCCTTCAGCCAAAGCAGTGTTCTGTGTGTACCAGCTCTGTAGTTTTGTGTTATGGTCCATATTGAAGGACTAGCTGTCAAGATATATGTGTAACAATGTCATATATTTCCTCTGTATGAAAATGGAATAGTATTTATAATTTGCAAAGAAGAATACTGATGGAGAAAGTCGTAAAAAAAAAAAAAGGCTTTATCAAAAACTTAGAGTGAGAATGAATGGCAAGAAGACCTTTATGATGCTGAAACAGGAATGGCTGATGGTAGCTGATGCAGCTTTAATGTCTGTACTTCCCCATATGCTGTCAGTCAGTCTGTGATTTGTAAAGAACAAATGGAGATCTTGCTGTATTTGAGTCTTACAGCTGTATCTCAGCTACAGTAGTATCTATCACCTACAGTACAGACTCATGCCATAATTAACAGGTTCTAGTAATTAGATCCAGGAATAGATGTGTGAATTGCTGCCTGTCTTGTTACAACAGCTCTGTTTTTCTTGTGGAGGTCTTATCTGTTTTACTTAAGTGTGAGCTTGGATCAGCTCATATTCAGTAAGGGTAAGTTGTGAACACACTACAACATTGAAATTTAACACTGTCCTTTCCTACTAAAGGATGTTACAAGGTGTGAAGGGGTTTTTAACCTCTTGGATACTTCAGCTACTCAGGTGTGCATAAGGAAGGAGTTTTGCACTGATGTTAAAAAAACACTGTGGTGAAAACTGATTTATGTCTTCAGCTAAAATAGACAAAGGGGAGAGAAAAGCGTGTCAATTTATATTTAGAAATGAGTTATGATTGAGTTTTTGTTTTTGTTTTCTGTGAAAATTTAATTTTGTGAAATGCTGACATTCCTAATAGACTTCACTTAAGAAGCCAAGTATCTTAAAAGGGAAAAAGTCAGTACCAGGCCTACAATGTAACTGTCCTTTGAGAACTTTAGCTTCCTGATTGCATTAAACGTGCTATGAAGAACACCGCCAACCTTGTTATTTTAGAGCACAGTACTTTCCGCTTCTCTGACGCACATGGAACAAGGTATTTATGGTATAGTGTAACACCGTATGGTTTGTTTCTGCCTGTGCATTAGTGAAAGATGGCATAGGCACGCAAGTGCATTGTGTAAAATCTCTAATTCCTGCAGACATGTGAATGGACGGTGGGTGACAGGCTTGTCACTGTTCCTATAAGTCTTACAGAGGACAGAGCTGGATTCTGACACTACTGCATATTGCCTCAGAGCTGTGTATTGCATAAAAGATTTTTCCAGAAAGGATTCTGGTTATAGACCATTATTCTGGTTGCAGCAAGCACTTGTATGCTTGCCTGCTCGAGCTAGCATGGAATTGAAGGTAATGCTCACAAGGAGCAGCTGTGGACCGCATTTGAGAGACATGCTTATTTTTGGAAGCTCTATGATTACCTATTTTAAAAATGAATTTTTGCCTGGATAATTTGGTAAAATTAAAATCTCGCTTCACAATTTGCCAGCAGTAGAGAACTTCCCATGCCTCTTGGCTAGCTCAGTAGGCAGTTTGGCTCCTTTTGTCTCTTTTTATGAACTATCTTGCTCTGGGTCTAAAACCTATTATGCTACCATGTTTCAGACAGAAGGACCCTGGAGACGTGATAAATTCTTCCTTTTTTCCTCATGCTCTTCAGTGGGCGTGTGCTCTTGTTCATTTGAAGCTCATCAGTGTACCTTCAGGCCAAAATTATTACAAAGATTATTACAAAGCTCCTCCTGTTTGGGTGGGGCAGGGTGGCGTCCAGGCGGGTTTGGAAGATCTCCAGAGAAGGAGACTCCACAACCTCTCTGGGCAGCCTGTTCCAGGGCTCTGTCACCCTCACAGGGAAGAAGTTCTTTATATGGAGGTGGAACTTACTGTGTTTCAACTTGCACCCGTTACCTCTTGTCCTGTCACCGGCCGCCAGGGAGAGGAGTTTGGCCCCATCCTCCCTGCATTCACCCCTCAGGAACTTGAACATGTTGATCAGATCCCCTCAGTCTTCTCCAGGCTAAACAGGCCCAGCTCACTTAGTCTTTCCTCATATGATAGCTGAGTACAAGGGGAATTTGGGTGCTGCCCTCAGCACTGCAAGTTTCCTCGCTGGCCGCAGCCACGTTCCTCTCGGGGTGTCCCTCTCGGTGAGGCCAAGCTGTGGAGGTGCTGGAGGCTGCAGCCCCGCGGAGGCTCCCGCGGCTGCTCCGCGCTGCTTCCCAGCACGCCGGCCTCGCCACTCTCCTTGGGCTATTGGGCAGGACAAACCATACTCCAAACTGTACTTATTTATTTATTTAATTTTTTAGTGTTGTGGTGATGACATTCACTGAATGCAAAACATTTTGTTCAAATGCCTAAGATGCCTTTTCTGACTCTATGACTTCTCAAATATTGAAGAAATCTCCTTTTTTTTCCCTTGATCTATCGCAAATGCCAAGACTTTTCACAAACAAAAAAGGTTTATTTTTATTTTTTTTAAGTCTCATCGTAGTTAATACTATTCCCATCCTTGCTTAACTCTGATCCAAAGTCTCATCGTAGTTAATACCATTCCCATCCTTGCTTAACTCTGATCCACCCACTGCCTCTCCTAGTTTGGTGCTGAGTGCCATCAGCTTTCTGGTCATGTTTTATAGCTCTTTGGGGATAAGACTGATTTACTGTGTACCTAAAGCTACTGTGAAACCAGGATAAATAAAAAGTTAAGTGCATTGAATAGCAATGAATCAAAGCAAAGTAGGTTATTGAAGACATCTTTAGGAAGAAATAGTGGCACTCTCTTGGCTTTGCTTCCCTACAGAGGAAGAAAATGGGAATACATTTCATATTGCATTCTGCCTCTCTCAATTAGCTGTCACCAGTTAAAGATTTCCTGTGTGGGAGCAAATTCACAGTAGTCGCCACATAACAAAGATAAATTCTGTCCATTCACTTCAGCAGATGCAGTGGTTCAGGATTTAACTCTCAGGATATAACTTTTATATTGTAAAATTCTTTCTCATTAATGTGGGAATTTGAGAAATTCAGCCATCCTTCTGTTACTCTTTATAGACTGATCAACATTTAATCACTGGTTCCTCCCTCTTTTGAGAGAAATCTACTATTTTGTAGATCTTTGAAAGAAAATTACTTGACTTGTAGGTTCATAACTGTGATTAAAAGGTGAAAAGCTGAAGAGATATTACTGAAAGCCTTTGTTGTTGTTGTTTCAACAAATAACGTATCTATTTGCAATGTATCTGCACGGAAAAAAACAGCTTTATTGGCAGAGCCCTTGAGGAAAGCCTTGCTGGACTTTTATGCTCAAAACTCATGTTTTCTGCAATACTGTTGCTTTGGAACTTGAAAGAATTCTGCCTTTGCTACAGTGTTGTGGTCTAGCATGTAACATTTAATTTTGCCAAAATGTTCAATTAGTTCCCAGCTGAAAGCAGAAGCTTGGAAATATGGACTGTGTGTGAACCATGCTGCTCAAATCCTCTTGGGTCTGCTGCAACCCAGAAGAAGTGGAAGATAACATGAATCTGAACTAGCTTCACTTGGTGCTGTTTTCACACTATTTCCATGATAAGGAAAAGCGATTATTTGGAGATGGAGCCCAGTATTCATTCCAATTGGTCAACGTGTTTCTATGGCTGCAGAGTATCTAAAAATGCAGCTGAAAATGTGGTTTGAGGATGAGAAAGCAGCCTACCCATTGCATCCTTTCTTTCATCAGATATGCTAGAGAAAAATGGAGCTCTAGGCTACACAGGAAATACTGGAAAGTTTTGGGGCGTGTTGAATAATAACGGTGTAAAATACCCCTCTCTCCAGATGAAAACAGGAAAAAAAAAAAAAAAAGGCTTACAAGGTCATGTCCTCTTACCAAAATTATGCTCCAGTTGCCTCGGGTGGTTTTTGTTGGTGGTGCCTAGCAAAGCTTCTAAGTGCCCCAAGATTTATCAGAACATCATCAGTCTCAGGGGAAGGCTCAGGGAACCTGTGTGCACTGTGAGAGAAGCTGACTTACCAATATGCACCTAAATGTGAAATATGAAAACATGAATAATATTTGTTTTGGTTCCATGCTGCAAGGTCACTTCACCCCACTTTTACTCAGGAAAAATCATCACACAAAACATTGATTTATCACTATGGTTTTCTCTGTGGATAAAAAGTTTCAAGATAAAACATAATAAAATTATCTTGTTTGCCTGGGTATGCTTTTCCCTACGTGCACATTTTTTGCTATGATACAACTTTATTTCTATTTCAGAAAAACTACTTTTTATGAAAGTGCAAATCATTAGCAACACCTGTAATTTCTGTAGTGCTTTTTAGAGCTTGCCCTGTAGTCTGTTAAGGTTGTGCAGAGACAACTGCAGTGCAGGAATAAGTACCAGGTTCTTACTAATGTGCAGGAGCTGGATGACAGCTACAGTAGGGGCCTGGGAACCTCTGTGGAAGTCGAGCATAGTCGGACATCCGGCTATTTGGGATTGAAGTGCTCAGGAACAGGAAACAGTCTTTTCACAAAGAACAGTGAAAAGAACTGAGTAGTTCAGCTGGGAAAGAGGTGAATCAGTTGCTGCATGAAAACACTGGCTCCAAAATTGGGTAGTGCTGGGTGCCACTTTAAGTTCATAGAATTCCAGAATTTAAATTTGAAGGGAATAACTTAGCTTGTGCTGCTGAGCTTCCTATGCTTC